ACATTAAAGGATTTGCTTGTGTGGCGGATTACACATTGATGACCTTTTGTGGCGGAGTGGAAGTGGAAGCGGAGGAGGAGGAGTGGAGGACGAGGAGGACGACGACGACGACGACTGTCTGGGCCTGAAGCGCGCCCGGCGGGGCGCTCCTTCCTGAGCGCGCGCCGAGGCGAGGGGGACTTCGAGGACCGACGAAAATTAAATGCTCGGCACTCGGGCTCTTCCTTTATTACTGACCCTTTCTCTCAGAGGCAGGAGGCTCTGGGGCTTTGGGCCCCGCGTCCCTCCCGCCTTTTTCTACCCGCGCACTAAACATCCCCTCCACATGTGATCCCTCGCAGCACCCCCCCCCTCCCCTTCGCCTCTTCCTCCTCTACAGCCGTCCCAGGCCCTCTTGGAGTCTCGGCAGGTCTCCTGCCTCCCTCCTCGCCTACCTCCTCCCTCTCCTCCTCCACCTCGTTGTCCTCCTCCTCCCCCCTCCTCCTCCTCTTCAGATTTCCCTCCTCCGCCTCCTCCTCCTCTCTCCTCCTCCTCGCCCTCTCCTCCTCCTCCTCCTCCTCCCCTCCTCTTCTCCCCTCCTCCAGCCCTTCTCCTGTCTCCTGCCCGCCACATATCCGCTCTCCCCCTCCCTACCTCCCGCATCCCTCCCCCTCCTCTCCTCCTCTTCTCATCCTGCCTGGGCCTCGCCTCGTCCTTCGGACCTCGCTACCTCTGTCTACTCCTCCTGCTCCTCCTCCTCCTCGTCTCGCCTCCCCCACATCCTCGTGCTTCTCCTCTAGGGTTAGGCCTAGGGTAGGCCTAGGGGTAGGCCCTGGGGGTAGGCCTAGAGTATCCCTAGGGGTAGTCCCTAGGGTAGCCCTAGGGTAGACCTAGGTGAGGCCCTAGGGTAGCCCTAGGGGTAGGCCCTAGGGGTAGCCGTAGGGTAGCCCTTCCTTGGGTGATCTAAAACGCACCACGAGGACTCCTGCCGCCACCTTCCCTAATCAGGGACCTCCGCTCAGAGAGGGCAGCGCCAGCGCCGCAAATATTGGGGGTTACAGAAGGGTAGGATAGCAAAGGGTAGGCCAGAGTATCAGCTCACTCAGCTGGCTTTCCACGCGCCTCCTGGCGCGACGGAGGGCGCCCATGCATCGAGGAAGGGTGCGGGGGCAGAAACCAACTGCATGCAGCAGATGTCGTACCCCCCCCTACTTCCCAATGCTACCATTTCGTGTGTTGCTGCAAGTGCCCCTGGCCCAAGGTGCCCCCAGGATTTCCAAGGAGGCCCCCACGGCCTCCAGAGCACCCCTCATGAGGCCCAGAGGGCCCCAAAGACAAAGGGCCCAAAGGCACCAAGGGCCCCAAGGCACCTTTGGCAACCCCCGATCCTTCCGTCCGGCCCGAGAAGGCAGCAGGAGAGCCGGACGAGGAGGAGGAGGAGGAGGAGGAGGAGGAGGAGGAGGAGGAGGAGGAGGAGCCGACGCAGGGTCAGAAAAGCTGGCCTGCTCGGAGGGTGCCCGAGCAGGCCCTGAGGAGGGCGCTCTCGGCCGGTGCTGGCCCCTGCTTTGTTCGCTACCGTTTGGGGCCCGCCGGGGGGGGGCCCTCGCGAGGGGGCACTGCGGAGGCCACTGGTGCCTCCCCGGAGAGAGCCTGGGCTCACGTCGGGCCAGGGTCACCTCTGGCAACACCCGACCTGTGGAAATTCAGGAGGGAAAGAAACATACAGACACAATTAATCGGCGATTCCCAGAAAACATGGGAAAATGTGGGAAGTGGGGGGGAAGACAAAAACCCAGAAAATATAGGAAATATGGGGGATATGTTTATTTGTGTGTATTTATTTGTGTGTCCCAGTTCCCCTTTAGAAATGTCCGACAGGCTCGGGGAAATGTCTGCGGGGCGGGGGTGGGGTGCGCGAAGGGAAAGTAGGATGCCGGGGTGTCGACCGAGACGCGGAGGCGGCTCCTCGCCGCGCCAGGGGGCAGCTCAGAGCTGGGGGCATGGCCAGAACGCAGCGCCAGGCGTTACCCGTGCCTCCCCAGCCTCGATGTCCCCTTCTGCTCATCGAGTACTGCAGACGAGGGCTCAGTATCGAAAGAGGGGGATAGCAAAGGATAGGGTAGAGAATCAGCTCACGTAGCTGACTTTCCCAGCGCCTCCCAGCGCCTGGAGGCGCCCATGCATCGAACGGGCCGGGCGGCGGGGCCGAAACCAGCTGCATGCAGCAGATTTCGTACCCCCCCCTTTCCCTATCCCCCCTTTCCTTCGGCCCGAATGTAGAACAAGCGGAAAACATCAGCGGGGACGCGAAAAGAAGCGTCCCGTAGCCCAACAGCCAAGCACCAAAATTATCAGCTGACTCCCTCATCGGAATACCCACGGTTCGAGAAACGGATCATCGAATCTCATCGAGGCTTTGATTGACGCGCCTCCCGAGTTGGGCCCGACCGACGAAAGCCCTGTCATATTCAAAGAACAGGATAAATGGAAATCCCCACGCGTCAATCACGAATGGGCCACATAACCGCTGAATCACAACAAGAAACTATGTGATCAATCACGCGGCGCTCGAAACGGAGCCCGACCTTCAATACGGCAGCCTCCTCGCGCCTGCTTGCAAAAACAACAAACGCCGTGGATGCGCTCTCGGGGCCTCCTCTACTTGTACTGATTCGCCTGTGCGTCCTTGGTCACTTCATCCTCGATTACTTCACAATGAACAGGCAGGCGGCGTCAAACGTTTGAAGTCAACTGGCATCATATAACCGATCTTCATCCCCACTGGCGTGGCCTTGGCCACACTGGCCGACTCACCCCCCTAGGTGGGGAGACCTGCTATTCCACTCGGGTTTTGCGGGGCATGTCCCCACATGCGGGGGTGGGCTGGTGGGGCTGAGATAATTACCATGGCCCAAACTGTCAGGATCGAGGACGAACGGGGAGTGCTTTCTCTAACTACGAATCACGTGCCCGACCAACTGCACTGTGACACCGCGCGTGCATCCCAGTCTCGCCTGCTCACACCCACCCGAAGCGGTCAAGCAGCTGACCACCGCGCACGCCGGGCACCTTGACGCTCGCGCCCTCTGAGGCTGGAGCGATTCGGCTCTTGGACACTGCCACCCGCCGGCCCTGGCCGGGCCCGATCGATGCCCTGGACCGGCGTTCAGGACACTCTCCTCACCGCCCCACTGGGCCTTGCCGCAGGCCAGCAATGGCGCGTGCAATCACCGCGCCACCACAAGGAGCGCCGGATGAGGACGGCACTCTTCGAGTCACGGCGCGCGCCTCGGCCGCGCATTGAACAGGTCCCCGGACGACCTGGGTCTGAGAAGTGGCGCTCGAAGATCAGAGCTCCGCACGAGCCCAACGTGGTCCTCACATCGGTCCTGGTCGCAACTTCCCGATTCCCCTAGATCCGGTGTAGCGAGTCTTTCAGTGCAGTGCGGGGCCCCCGGAAATCCGGACCCTTGCCCCCACTGCTGGCTGGCTTTGTGTGTTTCGACGGTCCCGGGGCCCGACGAGGGCCCCCAGAGGCCAAAAACTACGATCGGGGGCGTCGGGGGCGTCCCAAGAGGGGGACGTTTACACGCCGCTCGGCAGAAGCGGGTGGAACCATGAAGAAGGAGGGCGTTGGAAGTAGATTGGGCTTCAGCCCGCCCCCTGAAGAGGTGGCGAGAAAGAGACCCGTCGATCCTGGAAGCAGGAGGGCGCCAAAAGTAGACTGGGATCTGGGACTCCAGCAAATACCTGCTTTCAACGACCAGCGTGTAGGGGGGGTCGCACATTACGCCCCGAGGCACGTGCGCGGCCCAGAGAGGGGGGGGGGGCAGGGGACGTGTTGCAATGAGAAGAGGGGCCACGACATCTGAGGCGATATCATGGCCCCTGCCATGATATATCCCCCCCCCAGTTCGGGGGCGCGCAAGCATGGATTGGCGATCCATGGATTTGGCGCGCGGTCGCCAGATCCACGGATCGCGGGAGCCCCCCTCCCCCAAATACGGCCAGTGCCGCCTCGGTCGGCGGCGGAAATCGGCGATTTCCCGTGGGAACGGGGCCCGCCGCTAATCAGCGCACCCTTGATCAATGTTTGCGACCGCCTGGCTAGTCATCACCCACCTCTCGGCTGCCCCCGAGGTGAACCGCCTCTGCACTGCATGTTCCTGTACGTGAATTCTCGGAGCTCGGGCGGCGCGGAGCCGCGGGTCCCGCTGGAGGGCCTGGCTTTGGCGACGAGGAGAGGGTCCGAACAATATGTACACCACCGCCAACTCCACTCCCCCCTCCCTCCTCGAGGCCTCATCCTCCCCTCCTTTCCTAAGAGAGGCAAGGGGTAATGCAGGTGGTGGTGGTGGAGGTGGTGTATAGTTTGGGGCCCCGTACCTCGCAACGAGGGGAGAGTAGCAGTATCGGTAGCTCTGCCTGAGATCGGGGGAACAAACGGGTACCGAGACCGCTGCTCCCCGGACATCTCCCAGGGTGCGCTCTGACCAAAATCTCGAGGCGAACCCTGCCGTGGTGACGAGGGCCTCGCGGGAGGCCCAAGAAGGCGAAAACGAGGGAAGCGTAGCGGTAGCGGTGGCTGGGTCTCCTCTGACTCTGACTCTGACTCCACCTCCCCTCCCTGGGACGGGCCTAGAGCCCAAAGAATTCCGTTCCAGGGCGTTCCGGAGTGGTCTCAGAGCGTTCTGGAACAGTCTGGAACGGCCGCGGCGCCCAACACATCCTCCAGACCCGCCGATTCTCAGAGATGTCAGACTTCTGTCGGCCCGACTTTGTAGCGAGCCTGCCTTCGTCCTGCTCCCCCCGCTCCTTCTCGGTTTTCGGGCCAGGACTTGGCCCTCCGGCGGCCGTCCGGAACGCAGGACGATCCAGGCACTCCTGGAACGACCTCGGCGCGGCGCGGCTGCTCGGCGGCACCTCGAGGCTGGAGAGCCTCCGAGGACCGACGAGCACGCCCGAGAACCTCGAGCCTGGATCTCCGACGCCACGGTCTTTGCTCGCAGCGTCGAGCCCCAGAAGTCTGTACCTCTTCCCCTGAACTACCGGCCATTCGTGCCGCGCCGTCTTTCCACGGCCGTGGTGCTCGTTGGGGGCCCCCGGGCTCGACCCCAGACGCTCTTGGACCGCCCCTGGGGCGTATATATATATATATATATATATATATATATATATATATATATATAGAGTTCGGTTGATGTGCTTCTCGCACGTTTTGATCTATGATGTTGTCCTCCCTGAAGGGAGGGTCGCAACAGGGAGGGGGCCGCAACCCTCCAGGACGGGCAATCTTAGACCGCCCCCCAGACCAGCCGCGAACAGGCGGCCCTCCGCCTGGACCCCCCCCCCCCCCCCGGAAATCTCCTCAACAGCGCAGACCACACCCCCTCAGCATGTGCCCCCCCCCCCCCCTCCGATTTTCTTAGGGGGCAAACAAACCTACCTCGCTTTTGACCACCCTCGCTTCCGAGAGACACCAAGCGATGCCAAACTACGGCATGTACTGGTCAGGCCGCTTGACAAGGAGGCGTATGGTATGACCTGGTTTTGCCTGGAAGCGAAAGCGGGGTAGGTAATTCACGCTCTGATCTCTACTGAAATCTGCCCTCTCCGCTCGAGCCTCGAGCGCCCTCCTCCCACGCGCGGCGCGGCGCGGCGGCGCCCGCTGGAAGACCACCAGCCCGGAGAGCGTGGCCAGCACCTCCAGGGCGCAGGCCGCGGAGCCGGCCCGCGCGTCGACGGCGGCGGGGTCCTCGCCCTCGCCGGCCTGCGGGGGGCGGGCGCCCGGCCTCGACTGAGGCTCGGGCGTTGCTATCGGGTCGGGCGAAAGGGGGGGAAGCAAAGGGGGGGGTTTTTAGAACCAGCTCACGTAGCTGATTTTCCCGGCGCCTCCCGGCGCCGGAGGCGTCTATGTATCGAGGAATGGGCCTATCGGTGGGGCCGAAACCAGCTGCACCCCTTTCCCGACCCCCCCTTTCGCCTGGCCCGATGCTAGAAGCGCCCCTGGCCCAAGATGGCCCCAGTTTGTCGCTCCATTTGGGAGCCCCTGGGGCCCTCCGGGCCTCGGGCCACCCCGAGAAGCCCAGGGGTGCCTTGGCCAAGGGGGGTACTTCTAGTAGCAACGCCCGAAGGATTGCCTAGCTCCAAGGCGGTGACAATCTTAGGGAGGCGGCTCGTGGGCCCCCGATGCGACAGGGCCGTGTTCCACCGTGTCCGAACAAGTGTCTTGACAATGTGCACGGTACAACAAAAAACTGCAACCAAAAACGGCAAAGCAAATGCTCCAGCATTGGAGCCGGAACTGGCAACAAAACGGCGACGACATCGGGCAAGGACAGTGCGGGAACGGGCAACGAAAAACTACAATACTGAACTGGTATGAAAACGGCCCTGTCGCTTCCAGGGCCCACTAAAGGGATGCGCCCTCAGAAACTGAGGGGATCCTCAAGAGCGGCGTCGAGACGAGGCGATGCCAATCATGGGGACAAGGGTATGCTTCAGGCCGGTAAGCGGGGGGCGGAGGGAGCAGGAAGCCCAGCTCCCATCGGGTCATGAGAAAACCATGGCGGGGCACTTTTCGCCCCTCTCTGCCTCTGGGGGGCCATGTACTGGGCCTGGAACCGTCAACAAGAACTAGGGCTCCCAACTTCGCGCTTCGCGCTGCGCGAAGCGCGAATAACTTCGCGCTCTCGCGCCGCCCTCCCAAAGGGAGAATAGGAGGACGAGGAGGAGGGGGAGAAGGAACGAGGACCGCGAAGCGCGAAGCGCGAATAACTTCGCGCCCTCGAGGGAGCCCTTGAAGAACGACTCAGAACGAATGGCCCGTAGCCAGGGAATGGGTCGAGACCTCTGGGGGCCGATGTCATGAACAGATCAGGATTGGGTCTGAGAGGTCGGAAAGGGGAGAAAGGGGGGGATGAGCCAGGCAATATTGCCCCAAAATCGTCCCAAGGCCCACGAGGCCCCCAAGAAGGCCCAAAGACGGCACAACGGGGTCCCAAGGCGGCTCAAAAAGCGCCAAGAGGGCACTAGGTACTAGGAGGGGCCCAAGAGGGGAAATACGAATCGACAGTTCGAGCCGTTCCTCCCAAGATGGCTCCAAGAGCCCACCAGGATTTCCCTCGGAGGCCCTCGAGGCAGAACAGAGCAAAGCCTGCCTAACCCGATCGACGGGAGGCAGCTGCAGCTTCTTCCCGCGCACGAACGCGGGCCGCCAGAGCCTCCATGCCAGGAGTTGACACGAGGCGCAGGCGGGAGGCCGTCGGTTCACCACCTTGTGTGGTTGCGGCCTCAATAACAGCCTCGGCTGAGCGACGGCAAGGGTCCGTGACACGATTATCATTGTAAAAGTGAGGATGGAGCCCCTGCTTGACTCGGAAGAGGGTCTGGGATCTCTTGCCCAGCTTCCCGCAACACCGCCCCGCCAGCAAAACACACCTTTTCGAAGAGTAGGCACCACACCTATAGCAAAACACTAAAGGTTCCTGGGCCTCGTTGTCAATCATCGCACAAGCTAGGAGGTGCCCCCGTTCCTCGGCATCCTTCAGATTCCGAAAAGCTGTGGGGACCCCTTTGCACCCTACCATCGATCTATCCTGATCCCAGGTGATCGCGAAACACTTTGTGCACCTCCAGGCTACCCCCGAGTCGATCTCGCGCCAGCCGTGCCAACTCGGATCTCTGACAGCCGTCGTCCGAAGGCCTCTGGCAGCGCGACGGAACTCCATCTTGGGGTAGCAGGAGAGCACAGCATCAAACATTCGAACTAAATCTTTCACACGCTTCACGCACACATCAAGAGCCTCGAGGTCTTCTGTCGGGGCCCCTGGGTGAAGTGTCAGTGCGCGCTTGGCTAACCTATCAGCATCCGCATTTCCCAGGGCAATGCGACGCTCCAAAATCGGTAAAGCCAGAATCACCTCCTCGGACCTGTGGGCAGGGGTGTAGGAGGCAGGTCCCAGGCAGCCCTGAGGGTCGTGTTCCATGGCGAGCCTCCTAAGGCCAGCAAACATCTGCTTTGGGCACAGCTGTTCCCGACGACTAGCGTTGTGCAGCTTAACGGCACCAGAGCAGTCGCTGTGGGGGGTGGCAGGGTAATCAATGACACAGCTAAGCGTTGCCATGCCGAGGTGCTCCGCCGACTGCGGAGTCTGGAAAAGGGTGGGCCAGACTGTGCCCATCATCCGTGCCTGAATCTTGTATTCGGGACCAGGTGCTAGGAACACAGCCCCGAACGCAGCGCGTTGGAGCTCCTTAAACACCTGCTGAGTTGCTGAGCCGTCGACCACGGGCTCACACCCACGGGACAGCTCAAGAAAATCTTCAAAACTGATTTCCTGGCCCTCGGAATCCTGAAAAGTCGGGTCGAGGTTCCAGGACGGGCCAGGGACCACAGGCTGAGGCACAATAAGCCTCGACCAAAACAGAAGTTCCTGGGGCTCGGCAGCTTTCACCTGATCAATCAACTCCTGACTGACATGCTCGAGCCTCTGTTCGGCCACACTCGGACAGAGCCATTGCCGATGGAACAGGGAGTCGGGTTCCCCGCACAAAGGACAACCCCCCCCGTGGTCGTACCCGCACACTCTCAACCGATCTCCCGTCCAGCAGGCACCTGAAAACACAGCCGAGAGCCAATATTTTTGTCTGGCCGTGGTCTTCCGTGAACGGAAGAGCTCAGCGACAGGGTCTGGGCAGACTCGGACATCATTGAAATCATTTAAATCAGTGGCCATCTTGCGCTCAAGGGCTCTCTGCACACCTGCCTCGAGCTGCTTGGCCACTAACGCTGGGGAGGTGTACATTAAATCAACCACGCGATCGCGGTCATCTCTCCACAGCGCAAAATTATCTGCACGCCACCCAATACGATGGAGGGAGAGGAGCATTCTATGCACTGGACCTTTAGACTTACGCCAGACAGTGGGGCCTAACTCAGGAGAGGAACTCGATATTGCACGCCATATCCGAATGTGATCCCGAAAGGAGAAGTGGCACACCGTGGGCTCCGTGAGGCTCTGCCAGAGGCTGCTCGACCACTGAAGTGCTGGGGCAACCGCCTGACGCCACGCAGGGTCTCCATGAAGCACACACTTCGCTGTCAGGCTGGCTCCCCGATGAGCAGGAGACTTGCCTGACATGAGCACTGAACGTAAAGAAGCCAACTCGTGATCAGAAACTCCTAGGACCATGCTACCGAAACCTGCTGCTGGCCGTACTCCTGCTACATATATATTGTTAATACGCGTACGGTCCCTGGGAAGCTTCTTCTTATAGTGCTGGAGTAGCCGGCTACGAATTCGCATATCGTGAAACCGTTGCCGCCGCCGAGCTCTAGCCTTCTTAGCCGATAACCCCTGCCCAGGTGCTAGGTCCACGCCCAGCGACACAGTGGAGTTCGTGGCCGAAGAAGGGCATATTGGCTGAAGTCTCCTGCACAGCTTGGAAGCTATCCTGCTGGACGACGAAAAAGATACCGCTTTGTCTTCAGCTAGCCGCACACCTAAACGTGTCTGAAAGACCCACTTTAAATCTTTCGCAGCCTTGACCAAATCGTGCATAATGACACTTTCAGGACCATGGGCCGAAACCGTGTCGTCGTCGACGTACGATCCCAAACTAACCCCAGGATTTCGGCTAGACCAAAGATCAAACTCGAACATCGCGTAAACCTTCACGAAAACATCATTGAAAATGTCCCCTGCTGGTAACCCATTTTGCGCAAACTGAATGAGCGGGCAGCGATGAGCTCCCAGACGGAGTACTCTCGGGGACCTCCAGAGGTTGTACAAGACCTTTATGAGAACCGTGGGTATACGCCAGTACAGGGCCCGATCCCTCAGCCACAGGAGCCGAAAGGACTCATAGTACTTCATTCCGTCCCAAATGAAACCTGCCGTGTAATCGCCCTTTTCGGAGGTCTCCTCGGCTCTCACACTTTGCTGCCATATCGATACCTCAGCCGACTGCCCCGCACCAAAAGACCAGTAAGGCCGTTGGGCCCGATCCAGGAAAGCATCAACCTGGGGTCTCCGAAGCCGCTCCCAAACTCGAACAAAAGATCCCAGAAGAAGAATCGGCCTGAGACCTCCTTTGGGCTTCTCCAGTAAAGGCAGCAGCATCCACAGTAGCTGCGCGGGGAAAAGGCCCAGCCGCTCCACGGCCTCGTAGAGCACGGCCAGGCACGTGAGGCCCTCGTCGGAGAGGGCGCCAACATGCCGCGGGTGAAATCCATCTAAGCTCTGGGCGGTGTGGCGGCTGAAGCTCAGGGGCGCTTTCCGAAGTTCATCAACGCTGGCCCGAGGAAAACATTGACGATCAGGAATCCAGGCTTCAGGTGGCGTCAAGCTCGCTCCCCAGAATCTTCCCAATGTCTGAGCTTCATCCTCCAAAAGGGCGTGAGGATCCGCAGTAAAAACTCCAGGCGCACTCTGGATAACTGTCGGCTGCCAAACCTTTTTCAGCTTCGTAAAACGATGCATTATCCGAGCTGAGCCAGCGAGGGCCCGTTCCTGCCAGATGTCCCACGACTCCCGCTGTATTCGATCCACATCCGCCCCAGCTTGCTCATAATCCTCACGAACATCCTCTAAAAACTGCTGAGCTTGCTCAAGCCACTCCTGCCGCTGGAAGCTGCTGTGGCGTTGCCAGCTCCTCGCCAGAGTGCGCATGGCACGGAGGGAGGCATCAAGGCGCACAGACAAGCCTTCGCCAGGGCAGGAGTCCTGGAGCGATACCTGAAGCTGGATGCAACACTGCACGGCATCC